TCTCGAGTCTTCTGGTTTTTCAAGTCGTTCGTTCATCACGTGACAGACCCATAAGCTTAACCTATGCAGTCTGAGCCGGAAAGAGACTTAATAATAATAATAACCAACTCTTTATTACCTTTGTTACAACATTCAGTGTTATGGAAAATAACCATCATGACAGAAATTGACACATTTATAAACCGTAAGAAGTAAAAAGATACAATTTGAGATAGGGCTGCACGATAAATCGCATGCGATATTTAACGCGCATCTTGTCAGTAAAGCCGGTTCTTTAATCAGCGACCAGAAACGCATCACGTAACTGTAAGTGTAAATAATAATTATAATAATGATAATACTAATAATAATAATAACTATGCACCCGTTTGTAAGGAAGCGTGTAAATTAACTAATTTCTCTATCCAATGCTGTCACTTCATGTGACAAAAGAATGAACGATTTGAAAGACTCGGGAGATGAACTAATCAATTCTCTTTCTGGCTCAGACTGCATAGGTTAAAGTAACAAACTTTGTAGTCACCGGAAGAAGGAGGCGGGAACCGGCGGACATTAAAATAAACTTTAATAATAAAATAAACACAAAATAGCGCGACAGCCCCTCGCGGACGACTCGTACGCAACCCAGGCAGGAATTAGTTCTGTGAAACAAAGCAAAACCAATGTTACACCGTGTCTACATCGGACGCGAGTGGCGTGGTGCGACAAAATACTACAGAACTCATTATAATCAGTGATGCTGTCTACGCTTCCCATCACTAATGTTTATCAAGCATATAGTTCTCACTTAAAGGTGGGGTAAGCGATTTCTGGTAGCCAATGTTGACATTTGAAATCACCAAAACAAACACGCCCCTACCCCAAAAGGGTCTCGCCCCTATTTTGATAGCTCCGCCCCACACATACGTACACAACCCAGGCACGTTCTATTTATGACGTATTGACACAAATTTCAAATGATTTTCAACGGTCGCTTTGTCGCGTCCAGTGTACTAGACAGACTTTAACTGTTGCGGCGCAGACACGGTGTTACTCACCTATCGAGAAGAAACAAAGCAACCTCAGCGTCCGATCACAGGCTTTCCGCTCCTTGAGTTCTCTCCAGCGCTGGAAAGCTGGTCCGATATTTATACGGGTCCTACTTCTTGCCTTGTTGCCTTAAGCCTTCTTTTGTTCTGCAGACGTTTTCCTCTTTTGTTTTTTATCTGCCATCTCTATCTTTCTGTCGCTCGGCTCGGCTAATGTCCGTCCTGTGCACTGAGCACTCTCTCCTCTGCATCATGAGTAGACACGCCCCTTACTGCTGATTGGCTACAAGTTTGTTTTGCTACTCGGCCCGAATCAGTTTTCTAAAGCGTTTTTGAAAAATCGCTTACCCCACCTTTAAAAAAAATAAATACATTTGAATGCCAAAAAAAATTTCAAAACACCAAAGTGTGCTGTATTCAAGCAAAGTGCCATATGATTTACTCATCTTGCTTCTCATTTTGTCACTCAGGTGCTTCATGATATGGTATCCCTATCCTCTCCACCCCTAAGTGGTGTTTGCCTGTCTGGACTGGAGCTGCAGGGGGCGCTGTGGGATTCAGGGTCTAGAGTTCTTAAAGACACTGAGTCCCCCAATCCTTTCCCTTTCCCACCCCTCTGGGTCAGTGTTGAAGAGAACAAAGGGGACAGGATCTGTTCCTCTAAAAGCTCACACTGTAATTCCTCATCCCAGCCTCTGTACTGCTGCCCCCTGTATGTAGACAGACAAACTGCAGATGGAGGTCAAGATCTCTCCGATGACAATATTATCATCCATGTTCCACTTGCAACAAGGTTAGATCCAATCCTCTGTGCTATGAGGCGTGTTAGGTTAACTAGTACTCTCTTACAATAAACCCTGTGTGAAATGGTGAGAAAAACATATGCTCATATTATGGCATTATTACTTAATATTTATCTTGCAGATTTATCTTTCTTTAGAGTAAACTTATTGTTATTGGAAATATTGTTCAGATTATCATACATTTTTGTTGCAGTACAGTACTAGTAGACTTTATAGACCATTTTCTGTCACTTTTAGCATTTTGATGTACATGCATGTTTGTGAATTTAACCAAAAAATAAAGCAATTTTCAAAACAGCCCCTATGAAATGAACAATGTATATATATATATACAGTATATATATGAACATGTTGGCTCAAGGTTGCTGACTTTTGGGCATGTACGTAGAGTTTAGTTCAAGACTTTGACACTTGTGTTCATAACAGCCTCTGGATCAGCTTCCTCCTATCTCAACACTTTACAGATCTGTGTGGGTGAAGCTCACGAAGCCTGTCAAGAACATGTCCATGTCATATTTCACCACACAATCAAAAGAAAACAGTAAGAAGTGATATTTTATGCATGTACACATTCTAACCTGGTCAGATGTCTTTGCTTATTGCATGTCCAGGTGGGATTTGTGAATGTTATTTGATAATGTCAGCTAATAACAACTGGAAATGTTTTGTGATGCTTTATCCACACCACTAGGTGTCCGTACAAGTCCAAGATGACCATATCTGCCAGTGTAGCATAAATATTACTGAATCAGGGCTCGGCACTAAAGACTGCCCAATGGCCCGGGGCCAGCGTGAAAGATGCTCTGGACAGAATTGGACAGAATTGTCAGTGTCAGTGATAAATCCGTCACAAATGTTTATCATTTAAATGTGTTTATAAGCCTTGCCAATTTAAACATTCAAGTGATTTTAAAGCATTCAAGTGCAAGAAGAAGCGAAAAAACTCAATTCAGCATTTTCATGCTGTTCTCTATTCACACAGGGTGCACACAGAGAGCCACGTCTCAGACAGCGTACAAACACAGAATTAAGTTTTCTTTTGTGTCTTTTTGCGCAATGTGGACAAATACACCGTGCTGATTTGAATATTTAAGCAATTTTAAAACATTCAAGCTCAAGAT